AACCAGACCGGTGTATTAAGCATGTCTGTTTTGATTCGCTGGTTGTAAAGAAATTGCTTTGCAGTGTCGTAACATTTACATTATCATATCTTGGGCAGGCACAATATGCTAGCGGGGGAGCTAAATAGCAAAAATTATGTTAATAATGTAGAAGTAGCTAGCAGCAGTACGTAAGCCATTTAATAGCAATTCATGTCAAAACAGAGCAGAGGAGGACTGGTATAAAGCTGAATGCCACGACGACTCTCGGAGAATGAGCTCGAGCAAGCCGACATCAAACCACGACCATCATCAAAGGAGACGCCGACATTGGCGGCCAGCGTTCCCGGTAACCACGGGAGTGAGGGGGGGGGGGGGGGGGAGGCACCACTCCACCGGATAATGGTCCTGCATCACACCGTGAGCAGACCCGGTGACGCACCGAGCCGAGATTGTGGTCACGTATCACTACACCGAAACACACTGCTTGCGCTATCGGACACTGCGAGTAACGTAACGCAAATATCATAAAATAGCTTGAGCATCAGTCGACGGGGAAAACGGATGTGGTGGGTTTAATCGAGTGATGCGCATGGCCCCGTCCCGTCAAAATGCTGCGATGTCCCGTCTCGGCCGTCAGGCGACCCCTCGGTACGGCCCCGTCCCGTCAAAATGCTGCGATGTCCCGTCTCGGTCGTCAGGCGACCCCTCGCCATGGCCCCGTCCCGTCAAAATGCTGCGATGTCCCGTCTCGGTCGTCAGGCGACCCCTCGCCATGGCCCCGTCCCGTCAAAATGCTGCGATGTCCCGTCTCGGCCGTCAGGCGACCCCTCGCCACAACCGTGATACCGCGAGAGCTGGTGAGCCAGGCAGCGCCCTAAGCCCGCCGGCCGACCAGCTGGCAGCGATCGTCAACAAACGGGGCAGAAACACAGCAATATTTCTGACCGTGGCGTATGACGGCCGCCCGCTGTCGCCCTGTGATTATTACCTAACGTTACTTGGCCGGTGAAGAGCGTCGTCTTTTACGGGACAGCGCTCTGATATGATACGCCGAAAACAAGCGCCGATGCTGGCCTGTTTACTACAAGGTCCAGGGTTTTAGGCCCACTCCCATGCGATTTTGGTTTCTCCGCGACGGCACCGCTGTGGCGCATCGCGATCGTCTAGCCGTGGCGCGTCGTGAAACAATCAAGCTTCGTGTCTGTCCGCGCGGGCCGGGTGCGACGCCGACCGTGGTGGGCAGCTCGGCCGACCTGGCGCGGCTCGGCGGCGGCTGGCAGGGAGCCGATCGCGCCGCGTTCGGAGAGGCGGCCGCAGCGGCCGGCCGGGCAGGCGCATTAATCAGGCGCCGTAAACAAACAGGCGCACCGCCCAGCACCGAGCGCGGCCGGCCGTCGTCAGGCGGACCAAGCCAGGCGCGACCCCAGGCAGTCACAGCGGGGGTGCGCCAGTCCTCCCCGGGATTAGGACTGAATCCGCCTCTGGCGACGGATGCGAGTTGACGCCGTAGTAAGGGCTTGATGATGGCAGAAGACAAGCGAGGTGTCCAGGGGAGGTCACGGGCGCCCCGTGACCTCTCCTGGATACGCCTCTGGCAGGGAGCGGCGGCTGTAACAGACACGTGCCGGGCGAGAGCGGCGCTTCCGAGTAAGATAGCCGGAGCTCCGGTCGGGCCTCCGGAGGACGGCCGCCTCGGAGCCGGTCCGCGCAGCTGAAGCCGCCGCTCCGCGCAGCTGACCGACAGCTCACGGCCGACAGCGCCGCATGCAGCCGGCTGATTAGACACAATCTGGGTCGAAATTCAATGAAATCGACGCGCGGAATTCACTGCTGCTTGTGTGGTTAGGTGCCGTTTTCAGGAGTCGTGGAAATGATGACGGTCCGCTTTGAGCTTACGTGGCAGCGAGCATTACCTCTCGAAGGGAGTACCGACGTATCACCATCGTGGTGCGTGCAGACCGGACCAAAGAAAAGTATCGGTTCATTGTTGGTTTTAAAGTTACGACCACACAAAATGACACCAAAATTAAAAAATACTGTAACATACAAGCGTAGTTACTTCCCTGAGGTAGTTATCCTACTCAAAATTAACTTAATCCATCGGAAAACGTGATGGGTCCTGACAGTGAAATGGCTTCCTGCGCGGTTTAGAACGGAAATGCCAAAGGCCATCCTATTAAGTGACAGGCAAGCGCCGGCAGGCAGAAAAGAAAACATTAAACCATTCGTGGAAACCATAGCCTATTATATGCACATCTACACCAAGCCACTTCCCCAGTCCAAGCACCCAAAAACAGACATGCAGTCGACAGACTTTCCGTAAAACCCCCGCTGCATATTACAACTTCAACGCTTCGAATCATTAGGCTCCGGATGTCGCTGCCTAAAATTAGTGTTTCTAACTTCGCGTTTACACCGCAGTTCTCGGAGGTGGCGCCTCCCAGCCGCCAACGCAGCGAAATGGCGACCACCATCGACGCGAATCCGCAGTTCATTTCCAGCCGGAAGCGGTCAACGGCGGCGGCCAACAGCCAATCACGGGTCCCCAGGGGTTAGCCCGCACCGTCGGCCAATCAGCGTCGCCGTCGCTGAACTGCCGCGGGGCACTCGACCGGCGTCACGTGACCGCCGCCGTCCGGCCGTATCACCTCCGGCGGCGGTCGACGCGGCGCGAAGAGAGCCCGCGCCGCCGCCGCTGCCGCCGCCGCTGCCGCTGTTCGGCATCGATTCGACGCCGGTGAAACGGTGCGGGCAGATGGAGCGGAAAGCATGAGGATGACAAATGATCCGGGCGCGGTTAAATCTAACCAGATGTAAAGCATTTGGCAGGCTCTTCAGGGCTGGGCCGCATCACAGACTGCCGTGCTCGGCGGGGTGGCTGTAAAGTGGGCGCTGTAGGATGGCTGTCTGCGGCGACTGGGATTCATGACGTGGCTATTGTCAGGTCCGGCCGGACTGTGTGAAGGATGATATGCGCGGAGGTAGAGGAACTGAAATAGCCTTACTGCGATGATCTTCCAGAACGGCCCAACAAATTGTCCTCATAAGAAACTTTTCATTTCTGGCACATTCCAGTTCTGTTCGTTATTGTGGCACGGACGGGAAGTTACAACCGAGGTATTCGCTGCTCGGCTTCCCTTCTGGCCTTGGCGGCATATTCCCTGTTTCACCATTGAATAGTATGTCCATAACCAGGCCAGACCAGGACAAAGATCAAATACCGTTCACAGAGTATCCACAGGTGTACTGTATTTAAACCTTTCTTAGCCTTTTACTCAGCATGGCATGGCCAACACCCAAATCACATTCGGTTTTCTATAAGTTGATATAACACGATTATCAATAGCGTCGGCTATCGGCCATGTAGCTGTCTCTCAGAAGTCCGGACAACTTCTTTAGAATTGAAATTCATTCGAATTTCAATGCAATCAAATTTTGAATCCATTCGAGGCAAATTCAATTCGAAATCACCGCAGGTGAGTGTCAGAGTCATCCGTCACCAGCCTCAGTCGTGATCAGCAATGATTGCAACAACACGGCGCAGCGCCACACGTCGCTCTGGGCTTACTTCGCTGGCTGCGAGTCCATTTTCCAGGCCGCCGCAACAGCCAAAAGGCGGGCATACCATGGGCCCCCGACCCACCAAACTTCAGCACAGTCGATTCCGGCAAGCGGGGCCATCTTAGTGCCTGGGCCCCCGACCCACCAAACTTCAGCACAGTCGATTCCGGCAAGCGGGGCCATCTTAGTGCCTGGTTGCATCCCTTTATTAGCAGCGCAGATCACATAGCAGCGTGAGCTCTTGGGACGCCGAAACACTCACGCGCCGTCCAGCTCCGTTCCGTTCCGTCCGGTCTCACCCTGCCCCCCCCCCCCCCCCCCCGCGACGGTCGGGCCCGCGGGCATACGCATCGCATAGAGCCGCGACGCAGGCATGCGGCCGGCCGAGGCTGTTCTCGCCGTGTGGCATTTCGACCATTTGGGCCATCTCCGAGCCACTTACAGCAAATGACAGGCTTCAGTGACGCTCCGCACTTTTGGGTCGCTCTGCGCGGGCGTGTGCAAAGCCGACGGACACCCACTAACTGCCTGCCACGAGCGGCACTCAACAAATGCCCTTCCGGTTGGGGTAACTGTACCGTCCTCATCTGGTGAGTTCGTATGCACACAGTGTGTCAGCCAGTTAGTTTCCCGGTCGTCGCCAGGTGTAACTGAATTGTGAGAAGCTCTAAATGGTGTTTGGAGTCCAGGATGTGTGCGTCACAACATGACTTTTCTTCTCGGAATTGCTGTGATTCGAAAGAGGTCTTCTGAAAGCCGGGGCCTGTAGGAAACCTGAGATGTGATTGGAATTCCAAAGATTCCGAGGAGAAAACTCGAGTTGCTACGCGCACACTCTGCAGAGCTTCTTAAAACTCATGACATTTGACAGCGTGCAGGGATCTGATCGGTCCAAACTTTCTGTACATACCCGCTAGCCCCACCTGAATACGAACAATGATTCCATTCACACTGCTAACACCTGGTCTCAATCGTCCCGAAAGACTCCACGCTCTTTATCGGCCAGGGAAAATCCGGGGCACGCATGCAGTCCAGACCGCCAGGCAAACGTGTTCCAATCTGTCGGAAGCAGCGAGCATTCCCGACAAGCCTGTCCATATCTTACCCCGTACAATGTTCTGGGCATGGAACCTTCAAACCCTGCCCTACCCAATGGTCACCGGACTTTGAGACCAGCCCATTAACTGACAATATCAGGTAACTCAGATACGTGGAGGTCCCAGTTTTCGTCCAGTTTTGCAGTGTGTTTGATTAGTGTTCGTTCCGAGTTAATCTGCAACTGCGCCGCTGGATCTCGGACAGGTCCGAGAAGCTGGACGCGCCGCGCACTGCGCAGCGTGTATGTACACACGCCACGGCAGATGACTAGCAGCCGCCTGGCCGACTACCCTGCCGACCCTCCTCCCCCCCCTCTCGTGCCGGCGACGCAGGGGGCGACGACGTGCCGACCCACTGACCTTGTCCAGGCGCGGACCGAGGCGCGTCGGCCGCAGCGCCGGCTGCGACGCCGCCGGCGGCAGCGGCGCCGCCGCCGCCGGCGGCCGCCTGTCGTACCGCGCCGGCGGCGGCGGTGGCGGCGGTGGCGGCGGCGGCGGGGGCGGCAGCGTCGGCGCCGGTGACGGCGGCGGCGCCCCGAACAGGTGGTCGTGGTCCTGGTGGACGGGCGCCGGCGTACAGGGCATAGCGTAGGCGCCCACCAGGCTGTTGAGCGTGCGCTCGGAGCGCATGATGGGCGCCACCTGATCGAACTCGCCCAAGATGTTGGAGATCTGGCGATCATTCGGCTTCACCTGCGGGCGATGTCACACGCGTCAGACGGAGTCACACAGTCAGTCAAACGGGCGTGTGGTCGACATCAGCCGTCACAAGTCCACTGCCCGAGCCCACGCACGTGCCTCTGCAGTCACACGGCGGGTGACGCAGGCAGTCCAAGCCGACCATCCAGCAGAGGGATATTGGGCGGGACAGTAGAGCCTCACACAGCTGACACGACCGGGATCGAAGCCCGACAACGAGGGAGGGGCCCGACAGCCCTGGGAAGAGCCCGGCAACGAGGGAGGACCCGACAGCCCTGGGAAGAGCCCGACAACGGTGGGTAGGGCCCGACAGCGGTAGGCAGTGCCCGACAGCGGTTGGCAGGCCCCGACAGCAGTGGGAAGGGCCCCACGGTTGGCCTGACACATGCAGGGTTGTTGTCCCGCGTGCGCCCGTCACATGGCCGCTCGGCCGCGGCCGGGTTTCACACAGCAGCTGCCGGTTCGCCAGCTCTGACACACCGCTAGCACCAATGAGAGCCGCCGCGTGACACGAGGATGAAGGCGGACAGCGAACTATCGTGAACGGAGGATGAGCAGGCGGGGAGCGGGAGGCAGGCTCGAAGGATGCTTACATGACGTAGGCGCCGGAAGCCGACCATTGCCTCTACTAATTTGGCGACGCAGCGGCCAGCCGCGGCGAACACACGAGCCGCGTGACGCAGGACCGCTCCACCACGTCAGCAGTGGGCAGATAGCGGTGATCTCCGACAACTTCTGGTTGACCGTGACGTGCCCCGCATATTGCACCCATCCGGGCCACTTCCCCAGTATCAGCTGTATCCGGTATCCCCCGTGCACGCCTTATTCTGTATTCTCGCGATGCTTCACTGGGCAGGGAGCGTGCTACGACCGTCAGGCCCGGGCTGCCCCGCCTCTGCCGCGGCTGGGAATCCCGCCCAAGCTCCGGCAGATAACTCCACGTGTCATCCCTCCGCCGGGTACGGCTAGGAGGCGACGATAATCCTGGACGGCTGCAGTCTTTCTCCAGCTATTACCTCTCTCCTCAGTCCATAAGGTCTGAAACGTTCAAATACGGCCAGCCTAATCCAACCAAACGAAATCACGGTAATTCGACATGTGTAGGCTTTCAAACACGTTTCTGGAGATCTGACAACGGTAAAAACGACAGGAAGTATGGCAACAAGTAGGGGAGAGCTGGCAGTGCTGAAAGGTTTTGAGCAATGGAAAAGTACAAGACGCAGTTACAGAGCGCACGCCTCTGCCTAACAAACGACGCATACTCGAACCTTGGGTTCCAATAGTGACGTCAAACGACAAGGCCCAGATATCACTCAACGAGACAAGTCGCACCAATGAAGGTTTCACAAACTACAGCAATGACTTCGACCTGCAGAACAAAAGCCTTCCTTTCGTACTGTTACCTATGATTACGCTGGCATGTGCGTAGCGGAGACGGCTGTCATATGGCCACGGTTGTAAATGCGTGATAACAAGGGATCCGGACGACCACGGACTTGGGCCCACTTCCGAAGAAGATTTATATCAGCTCAACTCTCGTGGCAGCCGCCATCGGCTAACTGATTAGCTAGCCCGTGAACGAGATATCCTGCGGAGTACTTACATATCTCACGCGTGCCCGGTTAGAAGGACTCAGGGAGAGGTTTCTGGGGATTAAATGCATGATTCGGCCCAGTTGGATGACCTAGAATCCATTGGCCAGCAGAGGTCGGTGGCCCCGTCACGCAGTGGTCCACTCTCCCGGCTCCCATCTCCAATGGTGCAGAGCGGATGAGGGCTGGATAAAAACCGGGCTGAGGCAAAAAGAGGCGCTCGCCTAAGAATACATTAATACGTGGATCACGAAAGAAAACCCGCGATAAAAAGAAAACAAGGACGACAAAGGAAATCGTCACCAACAAGAGCGGAACGAGGCGCACACGTCTCGGCAACAGCGATCGACGAGCCCTGTATATTTACACGCACACGTGGGCGAGGACTAACACCGTCTGCCACCGGGACGGCGGCGGCGCGCCATGTTGTTTGTTGGCGCTGCGCGGCGCGGCGCGGCAGCGGCCGGGCGGCGCCGCTCACCGGCCGACCTTCCGCCGAGCGCCGGCTGACCTCCGTGACCCCTTTGTCTCGGCCGGTCGGCCAGCGCCTGCACCAGAGCACGTTGTTATAGCGGAGAGACGGCCGGCCCAGATCAGGGTCACAGACCATGGCTGGACCAGGGCGGGCGGCAGGCGCGGTACCAGCGGCGGCTGGGGAACAGCTACGCCGCTCAGCATCAGGCGCGGTACCGGCAGCGGCTGGGGCAGTTACACACCGCTCAGCAGCAGGCGGGACAACCGGCGGCGGCTGGGCAGCTACACCGCTCAGCTGCAGGCGCGGTACCAGCGGCGGCTGGGGGAGCAGCTACGCCGCTCAGCATCAGGCGCGGTACCGGCCAGCGGCTGGGGCAGCTACGCCGCTCAGCAGCAGGCGCGACACCGGCGGCGGCTGGAGCAGCTACACCACTCAAGCGTTCCGCTGGCCGTGGGTCTGTCCATCACTTTCATGACGTTCGCAATGCTATCCACGTTGCGTCGCTCTCTGTCGAGCCCTGGCACCGGAGCACGCTCACTCGCGCTGAATCGCAGAGTATTGGCTTAGCAAGGAGTCGGCGGGCTGGACCGCTCGCAAGCAGTCTGTCCCCGCAGCAAGCGCCTGCCCGGCCGCCGTGTCCGGGGGAACGGTCCAGGACATGGTCGGGTCCCGTACACTGACCCTGGGAAACAGGGAGAGTGCCGGAGACGGAAGAGAAGGCAAACTGTCGGGCTACAAATGCATCATGGCTTTGTAGCATAACCGTGTATAATACACTGATAGCGGTTGAGGCGCAAGGCACAGCAGAGAGATGACAGCAAGGACACCACAATTGAGCAGCCGGAAGAGAATACAAAGGCGGATGAGCGACGGAGATCGGTCGGTCGGGCCGGCGGAACAATGGAAAACAGCGGGGCCGGGCGGCTGGGCCGGTCGGTCGGCGGGGCTGGGCGTGCAGTCATTGACCCGGTGGCCGGCCGGGCCGGGCCGGGCCACTCTGGCGGCCAGAGCGGCCCGATTACGACGCCAGCCAGCCGCGACAGCCAGTATCCGTCATCGGTTCAATTACGGCGTCGCGGGCGGCGCGGGCCGGCCGGCCGCCGCGCGCCGGGCGGCCACCCCCTGGTCAGGGTGGAGCTGCGGTCCCCGGCACGGAGGGGCAAGGCTTCCGACTCCGACGCGGTGATGAGGCCTGGGCGCGGGCCAGTACGGCCTGGAGTACAAATACACCGTTTATAGATAAATAAGATAGATCGATAGATCGATAGATAGATAGATAGATAGATAGATAGATAGATAGATAGATAGATAGATAGATAGATCTATATGATAGATAGATGATAGATATGATAGATCTATATAATATCTATAGATCTATAGATCTATATGACAGATAGATGATAGATATGATAGATCTATGTATCTATGTATCTATGTATCTATCTATCTATCTATCTATCTATCTATCTATCTATCTATCTATCTATATATCTATCTATCTATCTATCTATCTAGATAGATAGATAGATAGATAGATAGATAGATAGATAGATAGATAGAAAGATATATAGATAGATAGATAGATGTGTGTGTGTGTGTGTGTGTGTGTGTGTGTGTGTGTGTGTGTGTGTGTGTGTGTGTGTGTGGTGTGTGTGTGTGTGTGGTGTGTGTGTGTGTGTGTGTGTGTGTGTGTGTGTGTGTGTGTGTGTGCGTGTGTGTGTGTGTGTGCGTGCGTGCGTGCGTGCGGTGCGTGCGTGCGTGCGTGCGTGCGTGCGTGCGTGCGTGCGTGCGTGCGTGCGTGCGTGCGTGCGTGCGTGCGTGCGTGCGTGCGGTGCGTGCGTGCGTGCGTGCGTGTGTGCGTGTGTGTGTGTGTGTGTGTGTGTGGTGTGTGTGTGTGTGTGTGTGGTGTGTGTGTGGTGTGTGTGTGTGGTGTGTGTGTGTGTGTGTGTGGTGTGTGTGTGTGTGTGTGTGTGTGTGTTTATATGACAGTATCCTTTATTTATGGTAGGAAAAGCAAGGTGCAATTGGAACATCCATCCTTGATACCAATAACCTTCGATAAGAGCAACGGGTACCAAAATAAACGGAATGGTGCCAACACGGCTTCCCCACACTTCTACTCTAACCAGTGGTCAGATTTAGAAGACGGTCTTTAATTCCGGTCAACAGACTGAATAAATCATGACTTTCTTAAGAACAAAGCAAAAACAAAACAAAAACGGAAAATTCAGCGGGTGTTGGCACTTAAACTCGGCCTAACGGGCACCCGCGCCCTTGAACGAGCCCCTGCCGTACACATGGACACGTGGGGAGCGGTAAGTCGGGACCGCGACGGGCCCGAGCCCGGGCCGGTGGCAGAACCGGCTGACAAATGTTTCGCCGCAGATGACCGCTAGTTAGACAATAAAGGAGAAGTAACCACCAGAACAATGGCCAGAAATTGCTCCCAGAGGCTCGGCTGTGCTGCAGCAGGTGGGTTAACCGTTCCAGACAGGCAGAAAAATGTCTAAGCCAGGAGCACTCAGCCTGGATGTAATTAACAACTCATTTACTCTGACCCTAACCCTCTTCAACGAAATGACTTTAGAGCGCTGCGCCGCTAAAACAAACGAGGCACGCACGCACCGCAGTCAACTGGAAGGTAAGTCCCAGCCCAACGAAGGCAAAGCTGAGTTTAATTATTTGGTTTCAATTCGTTTAATTTGTCTGTGCATACAAAAATGTTACCGACAGCAGATATGTGCGACGTGTCGGCAATTCAGACGCGCATAGCCTCCCGCAGAAATAGCCGACTTCCGATCAGGGAACGCCGGTAACGAGGACAACACAGCCGCACCGAGACATCTACCCGTACGCCGCCCCGTGCCAGGCTCGTTACAGAGCGCCCGAGCTGCGGCCGGCGTCCGAGCGGCCCCGGCGCGCTGGAGCGACGCTGGGGGCGGCTGCTCACAGCCGGCGCAGCCGCCTACCCGGACACGGCGACGGCGCGGCCGGCGCTGCCAACACCAAAACCAACAGCGCGGCTGACAGGGGACCGGCCTGGAGCGGCAGGGTCGCCACGGCGCTCCGGCCGACGCCAGGGGACCGGGCTGCAGCGGCGGGGTCGCCACGGCGCTCCGGCCGACGCCAGGGGACCGGGCTGCAGCGGCAGGGTCGCCGCGGCGCGCCGGCCGACGCCAGGCCTTTGATGTGCGACGTGCCGGCCGACAGAGGCCTGGGGGTACTCGGCCGGAGCACCCGCCGCGTGGGCGCGGCTGAGACGGCCGACAGTGGCCCGGGGGCACTCGGCTGGTGCACCTGCCACGTGGGCGTGGCTGAGGCGGCCGACAGAGGCCCGGGGGCACTCGGCCGGTACACCTGCCGCGTGGGCGTGGCTGAGGCGGCCGACAGAGGCCCGGGGGCACTCGGCCGGTACACCTGCCGCGTGGGCGTGGCTGAGGCAGCCGACAGAGGCCCGGGGGTACTCGGCCGGTACACCTGCCGCGTGGGCGTGACTGAGGCGGCTCTTGAGGCCAGTGGCAGCAGCTCAGTGGCGAGAGCCTGGCTTGCCGGA